GAACCTTGATGATCAGACATACCTCATTCTTCCTCACGAGTATATAGGGTCTTTCGAACCAATCGACCCCGAATAATGGGTCATTCCATCCGACTACCCTCCTCCTGTGGATTATGAAGATGACCAGTTTCAGCCTCCAAAACATTTTTTTCCAGCCTCAGTATCAGCCACAGCAGCAACAAGGGGGACACGAGATCCACCATATTTCCCCCTGCCTTCTTCGACCAGTTTGCCACAATGTTCTCCACCATTCCGCGCATCGATACTTAGACGTAGGAGAACACCCTAGCCATCCAGGATGTAGCGACCCGTGTCGAGCGAATGGAGCAGTCATTCCCACCTACTTCCCGCTAGGTCCAGGATATGTGGGATTACCACTACTGCCACGGACACTTTCCGCCGCCCGACCCTCCGATTTAGGTCATTTCCGCCCTATCCTTAAGCATTGAGGATAATGCTTGTTCTTAAGCTTGGGATGGGCCATTTCCCTTTCTTTTTAATTTTTCATGCATTTTTTTAGTTAGGTTGCATAACATTTTAGTTTTAAGCTAATTTGCATTCATTTATTTATTTTTTTTTAAATTCCAAAAAGATTTTATTTTCTTCTTTTTCACCTTTTTATTTTTGCATAGCATTTAGCTTAGAGCATTAGCATTCATGCATTTTTGTTGTCTGTTTATTCTCACCCCCTTGGATGCCATGGAACAGGTTCACGGTTATTGTATCATTATTGGTCCAGGATCTTGTTGCTATCTCACCCATCGAACCGGGACCACTAGCTGCAGCTTGGGACTTCATACTTGGGATCAGATGCTGGAAGCTTAAAGGGGTAAGTGATCATCGCCAGGTAGTTTCATGAAGAATTATGCATTTATCATGTTATTTGGATATAAAATACATTATATTATTTTGTTATGATATAAGCCTCCTTTATTATGATTTTGAATTGTATATGTTTTTCCTATTTTACCCGTTCTATATTATTTGGTTGACTCAAAGCACATCTTCTTATTGTAACAACGTTTCATCCTCCATCGTCTACTCTGTAAATGACGATTTCCTTCATAACTTTGATTTTCATGCTATTGCTGACCTCGAACATATAGATGAGGTTATATACTTCAATTGCATTTATGAAATATATATTATATCAAATAGTTTTTGGATTATTTTTACCCTCATATTTCATTTTACTTTTTTATTATATAATGTAAACTTACATCAATATTTTTCAGGAAAACACTTTGATTATTGTCGGTATGATTAAGCATGTGTGTATTGATGTGAAATGGTACTATTTGGCTTGTACTAAATGTCAAAAGAAAGCCATAAAAATCGTTTTAATGAATGAGAATCAAAATCAGGATAAATAAGTTTTTAATTGTTACACTTGAACTTGCATGAACAAATATATATATATATATATATATATATATATATATATATATATATATATATATATATATATATATATGTTGTTCCAAGGTTATCCATAATTCTTTTATAAATATTGTTATAATCTTCGGTTAAATTTTCAAATTTTATATTACTGAATTTATTTATATCAATGGTTTTAGTTTCAAAATCACCATTAGAGTACAAGACTTTACTGGTTTGGTGTCACTTACTTTATTTGATCGAGACGCAACGATACTTCTTGAAAAAACTGCACAAGAGTTGCTTTAAATTTTCTATGAGGTTATCGATGTTAAGATCATTTACATAAAACTAATTTTTAATTTTTGTAGATCTATTTTTATAACCGTTGATTTTTTTAGGAGGGTAACATGGAAATTTATCCATCTGCTTTGAATGTACTTTTAGATAAAAAGTTGGCGTTTAGAATTCAAATTTCAAATTTCAAATTTGAAGAACAAAGTTGATGTATGAAATCTCAAAGTTTACTGCTGATAATACAATCATTGCTGAATTGGAAAAAAAATTAACATCAAACAGATAACATATGATTTTATTTCTACATTTAGAATTATTTCTACATATAGGATGCTCTTTTGCTTATTGGTTTTTTGTTTTATAGTTCTCATCATTGGACTATAAGATGATTATTGAAATTCTTTCAAGAATATCATTACAAACATTTCATAGTTTACGTTGTACAACTAAATATTGTGAAAAACTAACGTACAACAAGCATGTTCTTGATTTCAACAAGAGGAGAAATAATGTGGTTTTTGGAGTTATTGTTCAACAAAAAAAAACCATGGGGAACTGTGGAGCGTCAGTTTGTTTCGTCACGTGGTGATAAAAGTTTTGACATCAGCTGTATACCAAATTCGTGTATAATTCTAGCATCTTACTTGTATGGACTGATTGTTGGTGAATGTGATAATGGAGCTGAATATCCAGAAAAGTTTTTATTTGTTTGTAAAACAACGACTTTAGATTGCAAATCGTTACTGTTTCCAATCTCTAAATATACTGCGGTAAAGTTTGCTATGGTGGTTATGAGTTGGAAGCCGTTGTATTTGAAGATCATTCGATTATAATACGCAACGTCATCGTAAGACTTTATCTGTATTCTATTTTAGGTATATTATGTTATATTATTTTATTCCTTATATGTTATTTTCTTTGTAGTTATCTGCTTAAGGATCAGGCGGACTGTGATAACTTCCACCTAGAATTGTTTGCCTCTAATACATCGAAATGGAGGGAGCTTTGTAATATCCGATTACCATCTTCTGTTTATCCTGTTTCGGATGAGGTAATTATAAGCGAATGTGTGGTTTACTTCTTATTGTCTAACTATGACATTTTGCGATTCGATGTATATTCGAAAGAATATTTAGTGAAATATGCACCTTCTATTACTAATGATATCAACTCTTATACATCGAGACTTATCAAGTTTGATGAAAAATTGGGATAATTTTCTATAAGTGGAGATCGTTCGTGGACTATTTGGGTTTTCAATCAGAATCGGTGGGTTAATTAGATGTTACTAATTACAATGTCGGTGAAAAAGAATGGTGATGTTATCGAAACAATGTCCTTTATTTTGTTTAAAGGAAATACGATTCAGCATGTCCTTCCGGCACATCATTCGCATGAAGTATTTTCATTTTGTTCAGATTTTGAGATTGTTAATATGTCAAGTAGAAATATGTGATTGTATTTATTTCAAATTGCATTCGAAAACCGTTGTTTTAAATACTCATGCAGATATTTTAATATATTATATTGGTTTATGATTAAATATTTTGTTTTTTTATTTATAGTTTTAATTTTCAACTCATTTTTATTTTGTTTTATGATATTAATTTTTTTAATATATGTAATCAAGAGTTTAATAAATTCATTTTAAGAGTTATGTGGACATTTGTATGTTTTTATATGCGTTTCCTCGTGTTTAACACGGGTCATAATCTAGTTATCTCTATTAAAATAACAAAACAATCAATTTTATATACAATTTATTAATTTAAAAAACTGGAAACCCTAAAAAATTCAGCAGACCGCCGTAGTGCCTTCTCCGGTTTCAATCCAAACGGGGTTGTCAAAGAGTTCACAACACGAAAGCTCACTGGAAAAAAGATTTGACGAAGTCTTCTTGACTTCCTCTCCGTCGGACTACTCCTTGCTCCTCCTCTCCTCCATGTGTAGGTACGACTGTGATTATCTTGTTAGTATTTTATATTTGTCTCTCTTTCAAAGTCTCACACTCTCATTTATTGTTTATATTAGAGAAGTAATAATGTGATCATGTGATAGTCTAAAAAACAACAAAACCATGAGTACCAGCTATATAAAAGTGCCTGCTATTATTTTGACACATCAAAGACATATCAAAAATTGTTTCTTGTTTTTATCGATAAAAACTCATTTACTTTTTATAATCTCCCTATTATAATAAAAGAATAGTTTTATTCTCCTTTTGACATGTGTCACCTTATTAGACCTCTTAATTAATGCATATTTTATTATTTTTTTTGCCATGTGTCACCCTATTATGTTTTCTAATTAATACCTGCCACTTGTCAACCTATTGATTATTCATTTTAAATTTTAAATTTTAAATTTCCCACTTTATCTACATTAAATTAATAGCATTAAAATAAAAATTAAAATAAAATTAATACAACTTATAAAGTGATATAATTTCACATATTTATTTAAATCAATTATTATAATTTTATATAACTAAAAAAACCTCTTAATTAATAATTTATTTAAAATAATTAATTAATAACTTTGAATTTTACTATAAAAGTTTAATTAATTTTATAACCGTGGTTCCCACGGGTTATAAACTAATATTTGATAAAGACAATAGTTAGTTTTTGATACATTGTAGATGGTACGCTGGTAATTTTTTTTAGACAAATAGACACAATTGCTTATTTTAGAAGAAATTTATCCTCCCTAATAAATAAAGAACTTTTTGTCACATATCTTCTTCTCCTTCATTTAGATACATGACATTTTCTAAAATTTTTGAATTTTCTATTTTCCACTTGTCATTTTATTGTATTTTTCATTTTATTAAATTAAAATTTCACATTTAATATGTAAGGTAATATATATGTAAGATATTTATTAGAAAAAGTTTATATATGTAATGTATTCAATACATTAAAACCTCATTAATTTTAATAATTCAAAATTTTTCTCATTTTTCTTATAAATTCAAACTTTTCAAATTGTTAAAATTTCATATTTAATTTTTTTTAAATAAACTCATGTAATATATGGGTCTCACACCTATTATAGTACCATACGAACTACGAAGTAGGAATTTTTTTTTCCTTTTACTTTAAGTTGTATATTTGGCATAATAAACATCTGTTTGTTAAAATTTATTAATTAATTGAATTTGTTTCGTAGTGTGTTGATACGAACAAAAATCCAATTTCATGTATAATTTGTTTAAGTTTTATTTTTGGCCCCTCTATTTATTGGGCCCATGTTAATTCTAACACAAACAAATTTTGGATTAATACGATTCTCTTCAACATGGTGCTGAAAGATCTAGATAGAGCCTAGAATTTCCACTGAAATTGATCCATGATGCTCACATCCACCTGAAAAGCATTTGCCAAAAGATCATCGGGATTATCAGGTTTTGCTCCAAACACAGCATTTCCAACTGTATTAACACCCGGGTTTTCGCTACTTAGACCTGCAATCCCAATAGCATTGCCATTTCCGACATTTCTCTGAAAGTGAACAAGACCTTGTGGGAAAACAAAAACATCACCCTTCTCAAGTACTTTGGTGATTAGACGATTTTCAGGGCTGGATGTGATGAACCCAACTTGAACGGTGCCTTCAAGAATAGTCAAGATTTCAGTAGCACGAGGATGCGTGTGAGGGGGATTAATACCCCATGGAGCAAAGTCTACACGTGCCATTGAGATGTCAAGAGTGTTAAGACCTGGTAGTTGGGCAACAGTCACTAGAGTCCCTTCAGCTCCCATGGCATTTGAGGTGTTTCCCATTAAGTGCAGTCCACTAAAGAAGAAATCGTTTGCCTGTACAAGCTTTGGATCTTTGCAAGTGAAACCATTCACTAGAACTGTGAAAGATGTAAATTTATTTTATTATTAAACGGGTTAGATGCAAGAAATAGCAAAATACTTTCATTTATTTTATTATTTTATCATCCTAGCTCGATAAAAACCTACCCAGGCCAATTTTTGCAATATCACTCAAATACAAGGCAAATTTTACTGCTATAATATGAAATTAATGAAAATACAATGTTATAATTTGGTACATTTTGTGAAGTATAATGCCTTTACCAGAAAGCAACTGAAAGTACAACAGGGTAATAAAAATAACGAGTAAGTTACAGAGTTGGTCCCTGTTCGTTACTCAAAATCACAAGTTTGGTCCCCTTTTGAATTCATTCGGATTTAATTACTCCAAGTTCCTTAACCAAAATCGCAAGTTTTGTCCAGTGTTATTTCTTTAAGGCTTGCATTTTATTTCCAGAAGAACTAACTTGACAACGAAAGCAGACATCAAAAAGATTTAAAAAATTTGGACCATATATAGGATGTTACAATGACGTAAATGTATGAAGTTCATTGCTAATTCTTGCATTTTTCCTTTTATTTAAATGTAACTTTAAAATCTTTTCTAGCTTTCCAATCTTTGCTTTCTAAGCTTTGGTTCCCTACAAATTAAAACGTATTGTAATTAATATTACTAACCTGGACCATTAAAGTCTGCAACACAAAAATCTTGAAGAGGGCTACTGTCGGATGCAAAGGCAATTGTACAAGTTATCATGATAACCCCTAGAAGGAGAATTTGAGAAGCCATTTTTTAGTTGGTTGTTATATGAGTCTGGTCTTGATTGCTTTTATAGCATAATTGGGAATAGTTTTGCCGACCCACCATCAAAGCACCAACAAAGTTCAACAAAGTTTGATATCATAAATAATCAAATATAACATTCTTTAGAGGTAAATATATAACTATGTGCATGATTCCTAGTGGGTTTGATCAAGAAACTGCAATTCTTTGTAAAACATCTAGATTGTTTGACTTTTTCTCATTAGATTGTTTTAATGGAGAACCTTTCTCAAGGGCTTATCGGTGAGATGTGAAAAACAAAAGTTGGTCACTAGAAAGGTAACCCATTTGTAAATACTAGTTGCAAAAGGAAAGTTTTACTTTTAAATCCGTTAAATGAAGCATAAGAGCATCCATATAATGGATTGCTACATAGCATTTCATTTTCATGTAAATTTGTTATTTAACTAGAGGTAGCTTCAAACGTTGTAACGCGAAGCTGTTTAAAATATGTATATGTAGAATATATAAAAGGGTACATGTATGATTATGTTTAACTATACGTAAGAGTGCATCTCTGGCTTGTTAAATTAATATGAAATAACAATTTGTAATACATTCTTACAACTTTACATGCTTGAAAACAAATATTTACAAAAAAACAATTTTAAAAATGGAAAAAAAAAATCTGTAAAAAATGTAATTTTATTTAAAAAAAAAGTAACAGTTTTTTTAAATGAATTAGTAAAAAGAAAGTTGAAAAAAAAAACTATTAACAATAAATCTTAAAAAAAACTAAGTCTTGAAAAACATATAAAACAAAACTGAAAAAAAAAAGTCGGGCAAAGTTAGTAAAAATGATTTGGAACAAATTCATAAAAAAAATATTAAAATTTAAGCCAATATTGTAAAAAGGGAAAAATTAAAAGGGGCGGATTTTAAAAAAATGGAGAGAAGTTGTAGAAAAAGTTTGGATCAAATTTGATTAAACATTAACTGTTGAGGCAAAGTTGTAAAATAATAAAAGTTAGGTATGACAAACTTGCTTCCGTCAATGCAGGCGAGTCATCAGTTCATCCGTTATACCCACCACCAACAACTAAAAGGATGGTATAGTCACTACTATATCTCTCTTATTTTTTGATTATATATATATATATATATATATATATATATATATATATATATATATATATATATATATATATATATATATATATTATTGTAGAGAGAGATAGAGAGAAGAACCACTAAGGTCCGGGGTGGTGTGCACTAACCACGGTCGTGGCCACCTAGAGCACGACCCATTTCGTGGTATGCATACCAGGCGGTCTTAGGTTTCGGCATTGTGACTCGTGTACCAATAAAAGGGTAGGTGAGATGTGGACCCGCAACTAAAGCAAGTTGCTTATCATCGATTGAGGCGAACATATCTTTGTATAAGACAACTTTACAACTTGTAATTCTTACGATTGTACAACCATTTACATAAATAATCAAGTGCGTCTTTTTTTCCATCCAACATTTTAATGTGTATTCAACTTCTAATACGTTATATGTCATGTCAGCTTAACATATCATTATTCATTGTACGTTAATTTGGTGCTTCACCTCACTCACTCAACCATTATATTGAGTTGTATATTACGAGGATATTGACGATGCATTAATTTTATAAGGTTTAATAATTGTCACATCAATATTTTACTTATAATATAACTTTGTGATTTAATTTCTTCAATTAGTTGAACTCTATAAATTTTAAGGTATTATATTTTCAAAAATATATATTATATTTTTTGAACCATTTTCACGTTCAATAGTTCATCCAGCATTCAAATTCATTTCATACCAACTTGGCATCCCATTACAGTTAGATTTTCCTCGTGATGTCTGGTGGTTGAGGTATGGAATTCATATAGGATATCCATGATTCAAACAATGGCATGCTTAAAATATTATTATTGTTCTACGATTAACATCTCATATTAATTATGAGGTGGGAGGCCGCTTGAATAATAAGGTTTACCGTTTTTCATCATGGTTAGTGTAACACCAAATACTTTTTACATATTTTTAATATTATTTTCTGGAAATTTATTAGAGGTTTATACAACATCATTCAAAAACCAGAGTTTCAAAAACCATATAATTTTTTTTCCTATTAAATTGGCAGGTATACAAAGCATATTTTTTAGAAACGGCAAACTAACTAATCTACTCCTAAATAACCACCTATGTATATAAAGCATATCACAACCATAATTAAAGCAACACGATTATACAGTACAAACATCTAAATCCAGCATGTCTTATTACTGTTATCGCCACTCATGCTAAAGCTTGCTACCTGAACCTGGAATACATAGCAAAATAATATTTATCAGACAATAAGTCTGGTGAGTTATAATTCAAGACAATAATTAAATTACTATAAACCATAGTGACTGAAATATGGTCTTATTAATATCTACGGCTATCCATACTATGACCCCTTCAATGATTTACGGCTATCCATAACTGCCCCTCGGGCCCACAACTTATCTTTGGTTTGCTCCCAGGTTTATTGGCTTTCGCACAAAGCAACATCGCCTATCCCCCATAATATAATGTTGAGATATACATAACAGATAACATACATCCAATAAACAGATAATCATACAACCAGTTAATAGACTCATAGACAGGTCTACATATAGCTATCGCATAACAACATCCTATATGTCAGGACTCCATTCTAACAGATCAATACAACATACCAACATCCTCTAAACCAGGATACATAACCCAGTAGGTCGACATTGGTGCCTTCGACCTACAAGTACAGTGAGGAAAACTCACCTCTCAGTCTGAAAAGATAGCTAAATAGGACACTGCTCCGAATATCAGCTTAACCGGTCACCTCCAAGTGGTGTCAAATGATGATGTGTTTCTGGATGCAAAGTGCTTCACTCCTCTAAGATAGTCTCCTATTCCTTCTTCCTCCTTCAAGACCACCAAAATATACACTCAAGGCTCAAAGATGCTCTAAAAATGGATTAGGGTTTGTAAGGATCGTATATGAGGCTGGAGGCTGATTAATGAAGGGATCCTTGAGAGTTAAGGATGCATAAATAGTGTATAAACCCTAAATATTAGGTTTTTGGTCCAAGCCATGTATGTCCAACATACTCTTGGGTACGCCCAGCGTATGCAAGTAGCTCCCAAAAGTTACAAAATGCCACGTGGGGCCAAATTTCCAAACAATACTTATACATGTAAAATACCTGGAAATCGAGATGTTACAATTCCCCCCCCCCCTACTTGAATCAGACTTCTTCCTCGAAGTCCGCTATTATGAACAACTCAGGGTAATGATCTTGCATCTCTGCCGTGGGTTCCCAAGTCCATTCGAAACCCTTCTGATGTTGCCACTAGACCTTGGCCAAAGATACTACTGTTGCTCAAGGCATTCATCTTCCTATCCAAAATCGCCACTGGTCTCTCAACATAATTCAAACGATCATCAACCTGGATACCATCCAAAGGAACAATTGTTGAATCAGCAGTCACACACTTTCGAAGATGGGAAACATGGAAGGTGTTGTGGGTCTGACTGAACTCCTATGGAATCCAACTGATAAGCTACTTTTCCAACCCTGGCATTCACTCGAAACGGCCCAATAAACCGGGCCCCAACTTGCCCCTCTTCTTGAAGCGTATTACACCCTTCAAGGGTGATGCCTTCAGTAGAACCATATCGTTAACTTGGAACTCCAACTCCAATAGGCGTTTGTCGGCATAATTCTTCTGCCGACTCTGAGTTGTCTTCAACCTCTGTCTGATCTGCTGAATAAGCTCTGTCGTCTGAAGGACTACTTTGGTCTTTCCCATAACCCTATGACCGACCTCACCCCAGTAGACTGGGGTACGACACTTCCTCCCATAGAAAAGCTCGAAAGGCGGTACACCGATATTGTAGTGATAGTTTTTGTTCTATGAAAACTCAAATAAGGGAAGGTAGGAGTCCCAACCCCCACCGAAATCAATCACACAGGCTCACAACATGTCCTCAAGTGTCTGAATGGTCCTCTCCCTCTGACCATCAGTTTGTGGATGGTAAACAGTGCTAAAGTGTAGTCTCGTACCCAGTTCCTTGTGGAATCTCTGCCAAAACCGCAAAGTGAACCAAACATCCTAATCAGATACAATAGAAACCGGAACACCATGTCGAGCGACAATCTTGTGCACATAAACATCGTTCAATTTCTCGGCCAACGAGCTCTCACGGATAGCTAAGAAGTGGGCACTCTTAGTCAAACGATCAACTATCACCGAAATCGCATCAAACCCCTTATCTATTCGATGTAACTTTGTGATAAAGTCCATGGTGATCTGCTCTCATTTCCACAAAGGAACCTCCAAAGGCTGAGGCTTGCCATGCGGCCTTTAGTGCTCAGCCTTGACCATCCGACAGGTCAAGCACCTCTCAACATACCAAGCTATCTCCCTCTTCCTACATGGCCATAGTAGCTAAGTCGAAAATTCTAATACATCTTTGTGGCTCCAAGGTGTATCGAAAATATGGACTTGTGTGCCTCCTCCAGCACAGTCTATCTGATCCCACCAAAATACGGTACCCAAACCCGACCACATCGGGTCAACAATCCACTATTATTGATGGAAAACCTGTCAATCTCACCCCTGATCCTCTCTTGTTTCCAATGCTTCTTCTTGAACCCCTCAGCATGTGCCTCCTTAATCAAATCCATAAGTGGCGAAACAATCGAAATCCTCAGACGTAAACTCCCAACCGAGGAACTAGCCGAATTGCGACTCAAAGCATCAGTGATCACATTCACTTTTCCCAGGTGGTACAGAATCTCGCATTCATAATCCTTGACCATGTTCAGCCACCTACGTTGTCTCGTGTTCAGATTCGGCTGATCCATGAGATATATCAAACACTTATGATCCATGTAGATAGTACATCGGACCCCATACAAATAATGCCGCCAAATCTTGATAGCAAACATCACTGCTCCCAACTACAAG